ATGTCAAAACCTTGTCGAAACATTGTACATTTTCTGTTATGTTAAACTTATATTAAAGTTTTCTTCATTACCCAATCAAGACGTCTCCAAGCATTATTATACCTTAATAATGTTTCAACTTTCCACATCCCTGACCTAATAACCACACCTTACAAATCTGACATCTAGCCAGCATACCTTAATAATACTTCAACTTTCCAAATTCCTGACTAACCACATCTCACAAGCCTGTCATCATGCCAGCATACCTTAAGAGTTCTCCAACTTTCCAAATCCCTGACTAACTACACCTCAGTAGTGGTAGTGCTATACAATTGCTTGTGTGTTCCTTTCAATATATATATATATATATTTCTCACTAAATTTTAATTTTAAACTGTACTGACTCCATGCACTGCATCTGACTGTAAAGTAAAAACTCCATAAGGACAGTTTCAAGTCTCTCAAAAAATGGGAGTCAGAAAAATAGTATTCAGCATTTTGAAAAGAGGCTATAATAACACTTATGTTCACGTTCCTCAACCTTGTACCTGAGCAAGTCCCCTCCTGGGTTAATTAACAACTAGAATAATATAATTTCTAATTTGACCTTTAGATGGCACATGACCAAACAAAAAGTATCAAGATGAAAAATATACAAAATTGTTTTGTATTTCTGTTCATACTGATTTTGATTAAGTTTTTCATAACTAATAGGGATTTACAAAGATTCAGAAAGCACGTGCATGACGAGAAACATGCCTAAAACATAATTTTTAGAGGGATTCTTGGGAGGCTAAATTAAATTTCCATCCACATGTATTGTGCCCAAGTGAACAAGAGATATTTTCTCAGTTTCAACTTCAGAATACATATTTGCTTAAGCACGAGATTCTACAATTGATGCCACTTCCTTCTCGGATGTCAACTCAATTTCTGATAAAGCTGCCACAAAACCTGTTGTGATTGGCATCATAAAACATTTTTCAAGTGGGTCACCTGTACAACTTTTGACTGGTTAACTGTAAATTCATTAAAATGTCTTTTCCCTTTTCTACTTTATAACATTAGCCATTGCTTATTTGTAAACATCCAGTAGTTTTAGGACTTCCTGGCCCAGGCATACCAGCAGGCTTTCAAAGATGGAAGTTGAAAGCAACAAGACGTGATGACGAGCAGCAGCTGGTATGCGAGGTAAATAGGTAACATGAGTAATTTACCGGGTATGTGACAGACTATACTGCAGCTCCAACTGAGTAATGTCAATAACTTCTTCAAAGATAATTGAATTTGTTGAGCGAACGACATGTTATAATAGGCCTATACCCTTTAGCTAGGCGTATCTATATTTGTCATGCAGTAAATCTATATAAATATAACAGTACTGTTTGTTGTATGTCTATGTAACTACTTTGCAGGGTGTGGATGGATCTTAACCAAAATTGGTATGGAGGTTCATTGGGCCTACAGGGAGATATAAACATATTTTCAGTTTTGCATTTGCAGTTTTTATGGGCGTTTTTGCATTTTTTACCACTACTTCATTCACTGTTGATTGATCTTCACTAAATTTGGCATGGAGGTTTGTTGGGTCCATGTGAAGATACATGCAAACTTGTGGTTTCACATTTTTGTGTTTTGCAGTTTTTATGAGCATTTTTTACAATTACATATAAGGGAAGCAACCTTATGTCCTAAAATAACCTTTCATTAATCATGAATTTACATAATTTCTTTCCAGAACATGTGTACTCCAGCTAGTAATAAATAAATTAAAAGTTTATTTTTTTTTAGATTTTTACATCATGAGTAATCTTAAAAATTTTATTTCAGAAATGATTTGACTACATTGTTAAATGGCCTCAAAAAATGGGGTAATCTAAAGTTGGGTATGAATATACTAGAGCTTGTCCTGCAATGTATAAAAAAGAATTACTGTCTGGAATCTTAAGAAAATTAATGTTTGAAAAGAAAATAATCAAGGAATGAAGTATGAACAGAAACTATTAAAATTTGATTAAGTGACTTAAATAATAGAACTTTTAGCTTACAATGTCTGAAAAGCATTAGTTGTATAGCCAGTATAAGTTATTATACTGTTATGACAGCGGATATCACGCGACGCTGGGAGCATGTGCACTGGAGTTTCTCAAAGGATCATGAATTATCGAGGAACCCCGTGAATGTCCGAGTGTTTGCCAGGCGCACCCTTTTTTTAGTATATAAGCCCGGCAAATAAAGCCAGTGATAGATAGATATGCAGATAGATTGAACATAGAGATAAGTGAGTCAAACAAACAGTAGGTACTATAAGTAAAGTGACTGTTGAAATTCTGTGTATTACAAATTTGTAACGAGAAAGAATAAACTAGTTTTAATTAAGAAAGGACTTGTATCATTGAAGTTCCTCGGAAAGAATTTATACCGGAAATTAACAAACGAGCATATACGTAACAATACCTTGTCACATGGTTTGGGTAAGCAATGTTTCTGTAAAAACTAATTTCTTACATGTCTCGAGTAAAATATTCTTCACCAGTGAAACTCAACAAATAAAGAACACAGACTGAAGGAAAATTCACATCAATATTCTTTCAATTTTTATGAATAAATATGGGTAGTGAAACTCACAAATAGAAAATATTAACTGAACATGTTTAATTTCATCACTTCAGGAACCTTCATTCACAGGAGACACATTATGCATAGATTTCTATTTGATATTAGAATACTAAACATTCATTTTAACTCTACACACATAGGTCTTCCTATGGTCACAGGTCAAAGGCCATGTCATCACATTTGTAGACTCACATTCAAAATTTTATTGAACTAACATTTTATGAATTTATGTTAGTAAATTTGGTTTCAAATTGTAGATTATAATAAACATTTTAGTATCATATATTAGATCATTTCTTAAATAAAAGTATTAAAAAATAATCTTAAAAATTGATTTTTGAATGTGTCATGTGGTATGTTGAATGCAGCATTGGTTCAAATTAGATGTTTATGATGTCCAAATACAAAGTTTATAGTTTCTTACAAATTATCAATGTTGACAAGCTAGAATATAAGATAAGAACCTCCTATTTTTTCTATTTTCTGAGATATAAATATATATTGAGTCAACCATGGTGGCCCCAACCATCTATTTCATTTTTGAAAATACTTGCTTAAGTACACCTACTTTGCCCAATGACATGTGTATAACCAATCAAAAGCTCAGAATGTCCCCCTAGTGGTTTTTCTCAGTCTCTGCAAAGTATTTGTGTGGCAAACTCTTTCTTTTAAAACCCAAATACGGTTGTTATTAAGTTTGATAAATTATAGTGGAATTCTGTGGTATTGATATAGTAATTTATGATTTCTTGTTATTTCAAAATGCATATATAAAACTTTAAAAAAATTATTTTTTTTATTTACATCCTCCACATGCAAAATTTTATAAGGCTTAGCAACTTACGGCAAGCAACAAAGGAGTACAAAGTTTGTAACTAGAAGAGATAATTGTTTTTTCTACTTCTTTATTTAGTGTTCTATGTTTTAATAAAATAACTGAAATTTAAGAACCTATTTGTAAATAGTAATAATGTATATGCATATGTAATGTATTATAACTGAAATATTTACAAAATACTGATCCACTTAGAACACAGCCAAGACAGGTGACTTTGTAAAGGCCAGTTTTATATTATTGGATACAGTAACACGAATGCACATGTACCACATCATTGCAACTTCTGTAATGTTAACCAGGCATGGCTGAAAGGTCAATAAAATATAAATAACAAATATATATAGATGTATAATGTTATGAGATTTAAGCTATTTAGAATAATCAATTGTGTTTCGTATTGTCATTTGTAGATATTCTAGAAGGAAAAAAGCATAACTTATATCTGTTTCCAAATTTTTTATGGTGGTTACGATGTCAGTCAAATCAACCAAACCTGTACAGAGATAAAACAGTGAAAATAACAGATGAAATATAAAGTTTTTTCTAAAAAAACTTGATATTTATCTGGAGGTTATGAAGATCTTGCATATGAAAGTTAAACATTTTCTGATGCATAGAAGTATTTCTAATCTTAAGATTAAAATCACTTTGCATGCTAGATCCAACAATTGAAAAGAAAAAAATGCATGAGAAAAACATTACTTAAAAATCTTAAAACATTATAAAAAAAATTTGATATTTTGCATATGAAAACCTTGTAATGTTTACTGATAATCTGCAAAATCTCGTGAAGATACACTTACTGTATTAAAAGTTATAGCACGAAAACTATAGTAAGCACAAAATGGTTATGAATTAGGTTCCTACGACCGAGCCTGCAGTGAAAGAGTTAAATCTCTTAATATGTTCTGAAAGAACACAACCAAAATATATATACATCCATCCATACATAAATAGTGACAATATCTGCAGATTAAAATAACATAAAGTTATTACCTATAATGAAAAGAAGGTACTGATAACCTACCTTGATATCCAAACCAGGTATCAACAGTACAGTGAAGTCAGCAATTTGACCAACAGCTGGAATGTTCTGGTACCTTTGACGTGAAGAGTAAATATTGCTTCTTCCTCCACTCCTTCGCTTACTATGACTAGGAGATGAAATGTCTAGCAGTCCCCCTGAAATACTTCTTTCTTTCTGCATGGATCTGTGTATGTAAGAAGTTCAGTTGTATTGCCAATATATCTAACACTTCCCCTCAAAATACCTCTTTCTTTCTGCATGGATCCGTGTCAATCTTAATGTGACAAACAACAGTCATCCAGAATTAGATTTGATTACTTTTGAGAAACTCATAGTATAGCAGTAAAATGAATACTTCTATAATATGAAATATAACAACACTTCAACTGGGAAATACAAAATAGTCTTAAGTTTAAAATAATAGATTCATATGACATACTAAAGTAATGGCTAAAAACTAGATAGTGTATTTGACTTTATAATGAAAATTGATAATTACCACACTAACTACAAACTATCTGTAAGATGAACAGCATAGGGAACACCAGGTCTATCTATCATGTTACGATATTGATGTATTATTACAGGAAAGATGAGGTCTAATTGTCATGATGCGATACTGATCTGTTTTTACTGAGAAGATGAGGTCTAACTGTCATGGTGTGATACTGATTTGTTATTACAGAGAAGATGAGGTCTAACTATCATGGTGTGATACTGATCTGTTATTACAGAGAAGATGACGTCTAACTATCATGGTGTGATACTGATCTGTTATTACAGAGAAGATGAGGTCTAACTATCATGGTGTGATACTGATCTGTTATTAATGGAAGATGCAGTATAACAGAGAAGATGAGGTCTGACCATCATGGTGTGATACTGATATGTTATTACAGAGAAATTGAAGTCTAACTGTCATGGTGTGATACTGATCTGTTTTTATAGAGAAGATGAGGTCTGACTGTCATGTTGTGATACTGATATTATAGAGAAGATGAAGTCTAACTATCATGGTGTGATACTGATCTGTTATTACAGATAAAATGAGGTCCAACGCTCAATGTCATGGTGTGATACTGATCTGTTATTACAGATAAAATGAGGTCCAACACTCAATGTCATGGTGTGATACTGATCTGTTTTTATAGAGAAGATGAGGTCTGACTGTCATGGTGTGATACTGATATTATAGAGAAGATGAAGTCTAACTATCATGGTGTGATACTGATCTGTTATTACAGAGAAGATAAGGTCTAACTGTCAATGTCATGGTTTGATACTGATCTGTTATTACAGAGAAGATGTGGTCTGACTGTCATGGTATGATACTGATCTGTTATTACAGGGAAGATGAGGTTTAACTCATGGTGTGATACTGATCTGTTATTAATGGAAGATGCAGTCTAATTGTCATGGTGTGACACTGACCTGTTATTACAGATAAAATGAGGTCTGACTGTCATGATGTGATACTGATCTGTTATTACAGATAAAATGAGGTCCAACACTCAATGTCATGGTGTGATACTGATCTGTTATTACAGATAAAATGAGGTCCAACACTCAATGTCATGATGTGATACTGATCTGTTATTACAGATAGGGTGAGGTCTAACTGTTAGACTGTGATACTGGTCTCTTGTTGTTATATTGACTTATTATTATAGGTTCTCAGATCAATAAAAGACACCTAACTACTTTCATATCTGATATCAGGAAGAGAAAAAGACCAATGGACTTACAGTACAGTTGAAAGCACTGGAGAGAATTACAATGGAATCAGATATCTAAATAGATCAAATATGAATGAAACTAAAACAGAATGGACACATCTTGGAATTTATACATTACCATGTGAAAAATGGTGATCTCTTTCAATAAAAAGAAACACTTCAGTTGTGACCAGACTTTCAAAAGTTGGATAGAAAATTAAGAAACACATAAATATGAGACAATTGCTGGTTGAGAGAAAAAGTGTGATGACAGCCACCAAGATTATTACAGTTCAGATATGCACAAAAGGCCTACTTTACATACTGAGAAAAACAGTCTTATATACACATATGTATGAAATTTGAAAAACCTATGAAACTGAACAAGTATTGAAAAACTTACCACCTAGTGGTCCAAAAATAAACTGTACTCTGAAAGATTAGATGTGCTTATAAACTTTGTAAGGAAGATAGCTAACCAACTAAGGATTGTTTGATCTTGCTACCCAACAATGTTACATGTGCACAATCAGGTCAGAAAGAGTAACCCAACAATATTACATGTTTATAAAATAAGAATGGAGAGTAAATACCGACAGTAAACTTTCCTATTGGAAAGAATGCTAAATTTATGGCACATAATTGAGAATATGAGGAAGTTAAAACATTAAAGTAACCTCCTTAAAACTGCTTCATCTTCTTTGGATGGATCCTTAGTGTGCAACACACATTTGCCACTGTTAAAAAACACCTGTATGTCCAGCTCAAAGTCGATATTTGGTTCCACTGGAGGCTGCTTAAAGGAGCTCACACCACTACTAGTTGCCCCAGGAGTAGCATATCCTGTCTTTTTGGTGTCCCCAGGTGACCTAAGTAAATGGAAAAAACGTTTGATACCTACAAAATAAACTCAAGCAAGTATAAACAATACCTCAATTCATAATAAAATCTTAGGGGAAATAAAGTTACATTTCTTACTTAAAATTAATCTTTTATGTGATTCAAACTTCATATTACAGCTACTTATGAATCCAAAATACAGAATGAAGTTTTCACATTTCTAATTCTTCTGTTTTACCAATGAGTACGTTTCTTTTTTCTATTGTCAGCCTGAACAGGATTTCAAGAACCAGTTTATTAAAAGTTACAAATCTTCTAAATTAAATAACTAAAATAATAATTTTCTTTAGTTGTTTTGAAAAAATGCCAAAACATTTACTTTGCTACTTATGGCAGAAAATAAGGGTGTTATAAATTTAATTTGAAATGTGTTGAAACATTTACTTTGAAACTTGTGACTGGCCATCTATTTTAGGAATTGCATGAAGAGATCTTCTTATTGCATGTGGAGAAGACAGAGTTTTAGGCAATGGCAATGGTGAATTATCTCCAGTTGGAGATGGTGTAGGAGTGTTGCTATACAGCTCATCTTCAGCTGACAAACTTGGAGAAAATACACTGTCCAAAGAAAGCTCTCTGAAAAAGAACATGCAACCTAATTTAACTGTTCAGTTAAACAGTTCTTGTACTTTTTTAAGTTGTTGTACGTATTTCTCTCAACTTACAGCTCACTTTCAGTGTTTACAGAATAGATAAATATTTTATCAAAAAGTCACAATACTGTAAGAGGCTATAACAATTTTTAACCATACCTTACAAATTAATTGAAAGCAGATTTTTTGTATGAAATTGTGTTATATAAAACTATGCAAAAAACAACAACATTCAACTCCAAGTTTTTAAAGATAATCTTCATATTTCTACTTCAACAAGTTTACAGACTTACAATTCTAAATCATGGAATTCAATTTTTCACAGTGGACAAAGCAGATACAACCCATTGTGTAACTTTGCACTAGAACAACAATATATAAGTATTCAAGTAATAAGCAGTTCATGTGTCTTTAATTTCCAAGAATATAAGATATTAAATTACATTTACTGAAACTATCTTCACCATTCAAACACTATCATTAAGCCTGTGTTATCTATAAACATGTAAGTTACAACAGTTACAACTTATCTGTTCTTTCTTTGGATCTTGACTTTTATTTTTGATATGGCTTTAAATAAACTGAGTTTCTTAATTGCAAAGACAGCTATATTTTTCCATTGTTTTTCAGGGGCAAACTAGGAATGGTGGTGTAATCAAATGAGTGATATATAAATGGAGTAGAGTGACATCATGAAGGTCATCTGGTCTTCCAAGAAATAATTAGTATATTTTTCTATGTACTATTGTAAGTGTGTTTCATTTCTGGTACAATGTGACCAGCAACGAGAGACTACTGACTCATTTTCTGACAAGCACAACCAAAGAAACTAAAATTTTCAAAGAAATCACTTGTGGAAACAAAATACCATTTAACTTATACAGTGTAAAAAATGCAATTATCAATATGTAGGACATACACAAATAACTCTTAGAGAACGTTTCAACAACCATA